CCCCCGCCGTCGCCGACAGGTAACGGGCGGGCTCGGCGGGTGTGCGGTCCCTGTCGTGACAGCGGCCGCGGCCCGGGCTGGGGGCGCGGGGAGGCCCCGGGGGGGCGGGGAAGGAGTGAGCAGCGCGGGTCGCACTGACCGGCCAGCCCAGCCCAGACCAGCGTAGCAGGGCCTTCAAAATATGTAACTTGCCCTGTTAAAAACAGACAGTTGAAGGAGTAGGCGCTGCGGCCCCTTCTGGGTAGGTAAGGCTCAGCTGTAAGCGCCCCGTTTCACTGCAGAGCGCTTGAATTCCTAGCTGCCGCTCCCGGAACGGAGAATTAGGACTCGCCACGGGGAGAGTTACGTGGRATTGCAGGGTGGGAGGCACGGCTCCTTCTCCTGTTCCTCTCGGAGGTTCCCTAGGGATAATTCTGCATGGGGCGAAGCTGGGGGAGCAGCATAAGGTAGCCCTGGCTCTGTGCTTTCTGCTGAAAGGGGAAACACGCATCTGAAGTGTGATTTAAGTGTGATAAGGCTCTATTTAGTTTGGGAAAGTATTAAATTTAGGCATAACATTCAGCTGCCTGAAAGTTTTCCTTCTCCCCTTTTTCCCCTGCCTTAGTTTATATGTGAGGGAGGTTTAAGTGGGAAATTGGAGTAGGAAAACTTCCCATGGAAATTACTGCCAAAATGTGTGCTACCAATGTGGGAGCTGCATCATTGGATGCAGGTCGCTGTGTAACTTTTCATATTAACTGGTGCACGTGGCCAGGATCTTAATGGATTTACTGGTGACACAGGCGGTTTTCCAGCTAATTTTAGTGGTATTTAGTTCTAGAGGATTCCTGAAAAATGGGCACCTAAATGGATGGGTGTGTAAGTATCAATACTGTCCACTTGCAGGTGTGGATTTAACATCRCCTCTTCTTATGGGTAAATTATGTCCGTAACCAATAAATGGGCAATAATAGCCTGAATTTTATAAAACTTACAAATACARAAGCTGTCCTGGGAAGAGGACAGCTTCTGTCCTCTTATAGGAGATACGTTCTTGCAGGTGGTTGGATTGACTGTGTTATGAATAAGGAAGCAAGTTCAGAAAGAGGAAGTTTGGGGAGGGAATTAAACCTATGGTAAATCATGAAGATAATATAGTTTTATGAGAGACTACAGATATCTCATTCTATTATGTAAGGAGGGGCAATGATAGGAAAGAACAGTCAGTATTCTTAGGTCAGCTGATCAGAGTTAATGCCGAAGAGAAATTATATCTAGGGTGTGTAGTGCTTTAGGGTGCACAGTGGTCACTAGCTCTTGCAGTCCATAGGTGGGATTTGAATTACATTCCATGTTTCTTGTTTACTTCCTGCTCGTTGTGCTCAGTTGTTAGTAGCTTTTGATTGGAAAGGATAAATGATGGTTGGTTTTGCTTGAGGACAGCTGCAGGCCACGTGATGCACTTCCCGTGTTTTTCACCAGCCTCTTTCCAGTCTGTTAACTAAGTGGTCAGTTCTAGGAACCTGACTGCATGCTGACYTGTATGACTGGCATACATGCTTTTGCTAAAGATATCTGTATGTAGCAATGACATTTGGCAGTAAAATTCAAAGGTAGCTGATTGTGAAGAGTTCAGTTACATAGGAAAATTATGGTCAGGTTCTTACCTGTCTCCAGGTAAGATGCTGACATTCATGCTCTTTGGTTGAAACTCATAAAACCTTTTAATGGATCTAATGCTGTGTCTGAAATGCAAAGCTTACTTGATAATTTCKCCATTGCAGATTGCCCTGCGCATATGTAATAATCCCATACAGGCTGTTAGGGTGAGAAACTAATGAATTCAGCTGGTAACCCCTCACTGGCAGCGTGTGCTTTTGCTTCCCGTTTGCCAGGCTAAGCAAGCATGGTGCCAGTAGGTCTGTCACACTGGCATGGAATTTGGGAAGCAGTGCTCAAAAGACAACCGAGAGGCTTAAAATTCTGGTGGGAATGGACTTTATCATTCTAAAGGTGAGAACTGCCCCTTGTTTTAAGTGYTAGCAAACAGAAGCCTTCTCTTAGGATGTTTTCTTACTTTGAATATTTAAGATTCTCAAGAACTTCTCAAACCGTGAGAGGAAGAGTTCCTGTGTGTTTTGGAGGAAAAAAAGAAGAAATGAGCACCCACCACCAGATGGGTGCTAGTTAAAGTAGTGACTGCAAGCTATATTGTTGACAAGCTGTTTCTTTCAGCAGATAGCAGAATGGCAGTTCCCATCTGTAAAACAGGGATATTAATACATCTGATAAGTACATAGACTCCTTCTTATGTTTGGAGCACTTGGCATCAGTAAGGCAAGTCGCATAAGTAAACAAGGGATATTAAGTTACTTATTTTTAAACTAAGCTATCATTTTGACAGCCAGGTTAACACAAATATTCTGTCTCTACCCAGTAGGTACCATGTTGCCTCWGAAGAGAGGAAGAACGCCTTCCAGAATAGCTGTGAGCTGTTACTGGACAGCCGTGGCAGTTTGTTTACTATTTCTTCCGGCTGCATTCCCTCTCCAGCAAGATCGACCCAGGGTGTTGTTAGTGTCTTTTGATGGATTCCGATGGGATTACATCTACAGAGTGTCAACTCCCAATTTTCATTATGCCATGAAGAATGGTGTTCATGTCAAACAGGTCACTAATGTGTTCATAACTAAAACATACCCTAACCATTACACAATGGTGACGGGTCTKTATGCAGAAAGCCACGGTATAGTTGCTAACGAGATGTATGATCCAACTCTGAATGAAACCTTCTCCATGAACAGAATGGAAATCTATAACTCGAAGTTCTGGGAAGAGGCCATTCCAATATGGGTMACGAACGAGATAGAAGGACATAAAAGCGGAGCTGCCATGTGGCCTGGAACGGATGTGAAAATACATGGAGTCCTCCCTACGCATTATATGCCCTACAATGAATCTGTTTCATTTGAAGATAGAGTTGCTAGGCTTATTGCCTGGTTTACATCAAAAGAACCTATAAACCTTGGTCTCCTGTACTGGGAACAGCCTGATGAGATGGGTCATATTCTGGGCCCAGAAAACCCTCTTATGGGACCAATAATTAGTGATATTGACAAGAAGCTGGGGTATCTTATATCTGAACTAAAGAAGGCGAAGCTCTGGAATGTCATAAATGTCATAATCACAAGTGATCATGGAATGTCACAGTCCTCCTCTGACAGACTCATTGAACTTGATCAGTATGTGGATAGAGAGCTTTACAAAGTGATTGACTATTCTCCTGCAGTAGCTATTTTGCCCGAAGAAGGTAGGAGATACAGCACTATATTCTCTGAAGAAAATGCTACCAAAATGTCTCCAGTCCTCATTCCCTAATGGATGTAACAGTAGCTGCACTGATGCCCATAGGACATCAGCCTTAAATAGGAAGATTTTGTACGATCACTTCCATGTTCTTTTTGCTAGCACTCTGTAAAGCTTGAAATAACATCCAAGAACTGAAAGCGACTTCGCTTTTAGCAGGGAATTGAACTAGATGATCTTCAGATAACTATTATTAATATAGTTATCTCCAGATAACTATAACTAATAACTATTCTGTTATTTTGTAATGGACTACAGAAATAGCTTAGATCTGTTTTTCCTAGAGATTCTGATATTTATTATACACTACTAGTAAACTAGAATTAGCCCTGATCATAGCTAAAATTATATCCTTATTTACCAAAAACCAGTTATTTCATTAAAAAGCAAGATGCTTTATTCTCAATTTMGTTATGAAAATGACATTAATTTAAATACACAATGTTGATTCTTAAATGCATTTTTCCATTTGTCTTGCTTAGACCAGAGGATTGATAAAATTTCTTAAGACATTCAAAAAGGTTTTGAACACTTAAATCAGATTTATGCTACTCTAGTTAAATGTTTCTTACCTTGGAGATGGATTAGAGCAGCCTAGCAAATGTCTTCTGTCTTACCAGCTACATATTAGGAATCAGTATGAAGTATTAACAAAATACTACTATTTTTTTTCTAACAGATAAACTTTATGGTAATCACTAAATGTAACAGTTGTCACGAGTCAAATTTTATATAAAAAAATTCTATGAAGCAAAATAGACAGTTTGCAGTTAAATACCTTAGTTGTGCACAAAAAGCTGCAAGTTGGGTTGTCACAAGCTAGCTGAAGTAAAAAAAAAAACACTTAATATGAATATGTTGTTATAGTTCAAGTAGGGCAATAACTTAGTGTACTGCATTTAGAGGTTTTCTCCCTCTCTGTTAGCCCAAATAGGAAGCTGGCATGGGTAAATTAATTTTGTTACTAATCTAGTATTTCTAAGACTAAATTAATTGAGAGGAGAAACATTATGTATTGAATGATTTTGTTTTCCCACAGCATTTATACTGAACTGTGGAAACAGAGAAAGCAAAAATTGTTTAAAGACACTGGAATCCAAAAATAAAAATCCTGAGAGATGTTCAAAACCACATACGTGCTGTAAATGGTAGACTGAGTTTTGCCCCTAGTTTCCTTGAGGATATGTCAAAGGTCAGATTGAGGACTTGTTCTAGCACCTACAGGCAGGAGTTTCCTGGGACACAGAGTTGCAGAACAACTAGCTTGTGGAAACACCCACAGCAGGAACCACAGCTGTGTATGAAAGCAGAAGGTGCTCAAAGCAATAGGTTAGAATGACAGGATGTGCTTAAATCCCCACACATCTGCTAAAAATATCATTTTGGTCACAAAGAAAATGTAGACTTTTTACAGCCCTGTTTCAGACCTTGTAGTGCTGAAATGAGACCATCTGTGACCTTAGCTCTCTGTGTTGGCTATGCACGTGCGTAGCACAAAGCAATTAAATAGCTCGTGCAGCAGAGCTTTCCTGTCTGGYTGCAGTAAGAAATGTCACTGGTCATTACAGCTACCTGAGGGGAAGCTGCAGTCTGGCCCTAAAGCAGAAATAACCTCGTCAACTGCTTTGGAGTCACCTTGATTTCAGGTTTCACATGGCACTCAGAGGAACTGCTTTTTTTTTGCATGGGACTGAACACTTTTTAACTGCAGTTCTCATGAAAAGCTTACATTCTTACAACTATTTAGTGAGGGATTTTTTTTTTTCTAAAATTAGGAAGAAAGCTACTAGTCACAAACAGTCTGTTAGAATCACARAATGGGTGAGGTTGGAAGGGACCTCTAGAGACCATCTAGTCCAAGTCTCCCGCTCAAGCACTGATGCCAAGTGAATTCTCTGAATGTACTTCTCAGTTTCTCTCAGTAACTTCTGTAACATCATTATTGTCTCATATAGCTAAATTTAGCCTTCTAGGAAAGTACATGTTGTCCTCTTCTTTCTCCTGAAAATTTTATTTCAATTACGGATGAGTTTGGTAAACACGTCTCCTTAAACGTATTTTAGAGGTATTTATTTTCCATTTGTTTGTTTTTTCTTTTGAAGGAAAACTGGATGAAGTCTATGAAGCTCTGGTCAATGCTCATCCCAACATGACTGTTTATAAGAAGGAGCAGATTCCAAACAGATTACATTAYAAGCACAACAGTAAAATTCAGCCAATCTTAGCATTGGCTGATGAAGGATGGGAAATTGTACACAATAAGTCTGACCATTTTCTGTGTAAGTATTCTGCCTCTAGAGTGTTTTGTTGCATCTGCCTTGTCAGGCACCTTTTCTCTTTCAGGCACCTTTCTCTCTCAGGCACCTATTTTCTCTTCCACCCTCAAACAAGGTTAAATGTTTAAACCCAGGAGAGTAARCTATGACACTAAGTATGTAGAATTTACTTCAGTTTTGTTTTCTAATGAAATAGGAARCACCCAGCTATTGTGAGGCGGGGAGTGGAATTGGTATTTCTGGAGTTAAATTTACTGATTTAAGATCATTCACATGTTTTAGTCATCACATGCTTGAGGTCTTCTGGAAAGATCTAGCAAAATGATGAGCACTTCCTGAGAGATAAGAAATCTTAAAAAAAGGTATTGAAGAGAGGGTGAAAGCATTTTTTATGCTGTACTCTACATTTTATGGTTTCTCTTTCTTTGGAGGGCCAGAAATACTGGACCAAGGCTTGGTTGCAACTTTGTTTTGCCCCATAGGATGAGATTTCGTCATCCTTCTAGATAACTTTGCTGCTGTTTATGAAGCTGAAGAATGTTACCTGCCACAGAGCCAAGTTTTTCAGCTGTTGATACTTGATAGGAGCTGCTCTTCTTGGCTGTTTGTTTACATACTTGTTCCAAGTTTCTAGAGCCCTGGTAAGGAAAGGGCATTGGACGCTTAGCAGTGAGATCTGTAAACTTTTCTTGCTAATTGGTGCATAGTACACAAAACCAGACAGGGTGTCAAGGCCATCAGAATTTAAGGTTTGTCTGCTATAACGCATCAAACAGACTCTATTTGGCCTTTTTTTACTAAAAGATTTGGTCCCGTTGCAGAGTGAGTGTCTTTCCTTGAGCAGGATGAAGGAAGTTTGCAGGTAGGATACCCTTGGCAGTACAACTAGTGCCACGAGAACTTAGCTTTTTTTTTTTTTTTTTTTTTTTTCCTAGAACTCTCCATTCTTTTTATAGTGTTTTCATTTTTTTCTGTGACTTGGTATTTGCACCATTGATGAAAATGATTCTGCTAAACCTTTATAGCAATAAATGAAGGTGGCTGTTCCCTTTCTGCGTATGCTGATTCTGGAAGAAGCTTCAAGCGCTTGTTCTGCAATTTCAGAATACTGACTTTTATCCTTCTTTTCTTTCTAGTGGGTAATCATGGATACGACAACACCTTACCAGAAATGCATCCAATCTTTCTAGCATTTGGGCCTGCTTTCAGAACAAATGCCACCAAGGAAGCCATGAATGCTACAGACTTGTACCCTTTAATGTGCCACCTACTCAGTATTACCCCTCTGCCGAACAACGGGTCGTTCCATGCTGTGAAAGATATTCTTGCTGAGGTGGTTCCAAGCTGGCCTCATCCTGAAGCTCGTGAAACAGAGTCCTATGCTTACTTCATAGGAGTCTCTCTTGGCGGCATCCTTGTTCTGTTTTTCCTTTTTGTTTTTGTTAAGCATTTAACCCGCAACCAGATATATACCATGCGAGTGCAACATACTGAAATTGCCCAGCCACTACTACAAGACTAATAGAAATTGTCAACAGAGGCACCATAAAGTTTTGGAGTAGCGTTTGGTGCTTTATCCTGTTTGGCACTTAAAAAAAGCTTCTACAAAATTAAGTGGCTCAGCAGAAATATGTGGAGTAAACCAAAATGGATACTTCTCCACTGGTACACTGGAGTACATAAATATCAGGTACATAGAGAAAGAGTGTGTTTCTGTTTCACTCTACAACCACTTAATCTTTCAGAGGTTGAAAATATTCTGGGTAAACCTGGAAAGCTGTATATGTGTCTAGGTACATATAGGATACGTGTAGTAGCAAAAGACCTTGAATACCTCATGGTGAACTGCTGATAGGGAAGTAACATCAGCTGAATAACATGAATATTGCATGGTGATTTAGATTCTTTTTTCTCAGTAAGCTTTTAAGCCTCAGATTCTAACAAATCACGGACTGGTTGGACTCTGCTTTGAGGTTTCTCTTCCCACCCCAARGAAGATGTGTTACAGATGACCAATAGAGATAGCTGGGTGGATTAAATCCTTCTGAATASAACATCTAGAGAGGTCACATAGTACCAAGTGTCTAGGTTTAGAGCTAGACATGTTTCTTCTGAGTCCTGTGTAAATTGTAGTACCCATAATATTAATGTAGGTGGTACTGCCTTTAGCAATCAGCATYAAGCTACCTGATTAATTTATTTTTATGTAAACGTAGGTCTTCACTTTCTCTGTTTCTTCTACACTGGACTAAATTTTCTTGGAGTTCCTGTGGCTGGCTGATTAAAGACACAAATAAGCACAATGCTTGTATATCCAAACAGAGTCTGTGGTATTTCTGTGATCGGAGGGCTCTTTCTGAATGAGGCTTATGGGCAGTTAAGGAACGTGCTCTACAAGCTTGTTTAGAGGGCTGCCTTTTTTAGAGGGCTTCACTGGGTGAAGTCAGATCCATCACTGAAGACGGTTTGTTTGGGGGAGTTTGCTTCCTGTCTTCTGTTTTATGATATGAGTGGTTGAACCCTTCAAGTTTTGATTAATATCTCTAAAGACCAGACACACCGTTTCAAGGAGCGGTCTTATCAAATGTACTCTTAAATCTGAAAAAAAAAAAACTTTAATATGAAATAAGGCATAAGATTAAGTTAAATTTAGTAATATTGAAATTTTGTTTTTCCAGGGCAGGTCTGTATTTGAAAAATCAATCCTAAATTGGATAGAACTATAAATTACTGTGCCTCTGTGAGGGGGTTGCTGAAATAAGTGTTTGCTCTATTGCGCCTTTTTTTTTTTTTTGTTGTTGAGCTTTCTTAACTGAGAGGTGAGAAGCTGCTGACTTTTTGTGTGAAAGAAGTGGTGTTAAGTGAAAAAAAAACTTCTAATTGTCAGATTTCAATAGCTGATTTTCTCTCTGAGTAATACTTCTGTGTTTTGCTTCTGAATACAGTACATGAAGGAGAAAAAAAATCTTTCCAAATTGACTTAAATATTCATCCTGGTATTTCCATAAGAGCAATTTATCAGTGCAGGCACATGCATTAGTGCTTTATTTAAAAASTGGATTATATTTTCCTCGAAAAGTTGGTAACAGCTTTATCTACAGCCCTCAGAGGACAGAGTTAAGAACATCGTAGCCTTGGATAGTCCATGTGTCAAGAGAAACTAGTGATGTGACTTAGTGAAAAAATGACTAACTGAAATCCCAAACCCATTCTACTAAACCTAATTCTAGACTCATCAGAGGATGACGTCTAAGCGGGTTCAGATAGGAATTTTAACTTCTTGCTGCCTTAGTGATGATTCCACTGTGCCRTGATACTTCGGACAGAGTGAGTGCTGGCTACTTTGTCATCCCCTGCATTCCTCAGTGGTTGCAGAGAYACCTGTAGAGCGTCAGACTCTGACGTGGAAGGTTTCCAGAAGCCACAGCTAAATACAGTGATGGCTTGAGAGGGAAGGCAATGAAGTACCTGCATGTCTTAAGGTAAAGGCTGAAAATCTAACAAGTTRTATCTTTAAATGTCAGGGAACTAGCACATCTTTTGGTGCTTAATTTTGGGATACGAGTACTGTGTAATGTATCTGACTCATCTCTGCAGTTACTCACCTTGGGATGCTGGTTGCTGTTCCTGCCCATTCTCTTAACAAAACACTGGAGGAAAACCCTGAGCTAGCCATGCCTGACGTACAGCTCATCCTCAGTGGAGCAGGCTGCTTGCTCTGCTTTAAATCTAATCTGTTGACACCAATTCAACCTGAATGCACGGGGCGGGGCAGCTAGAGGAGGATCAAGTTGAAAGACGAATTCAGAAGTGATKTTCACAGCAGTCTGTAGAGAAGCTTGGGAGGTCTGAGTAGCAAATCTAGATTTCTCAGTCATTACTGATCTTCCCTAGCTTTCTTCCAAGAAATGGGTGGCAAATGGCACTTAATGTATTGATTCTATGTTTTCTTTCTTATTTGGATCTTTGAAATTTACTATAGCACAAACTTTGTGTATTCCAGTTTAAAGAAAGATAACAGTTTGGGTGAAGAGGAAAACAATAAATGTCTGACATGGGCCAAGTCCATAATGCCTCCTGCTCCCAGGAGCTTCCTCAGCTCCTCACATTGCAACATGTGGCTTGAGTAGAAACTTCTTAGTGATGTTTATGGCAAATGCTAAATTATGCCCTGATCTTTAAGGGGCAAAGTYGGTCAGTGTTAGCCATGCTACTATCCCTGTCCTACCTCCCAAACATGTGACAAGGGAAGCATGTTCCCACTCTAGCTGCCTTTGGGAACAGAACATCCAAAATAGGTCAGGAATGCAGGCATGAGAGTTCTCTTCGGTTTTGTTGTTCTGTATTGYACTGTGAGGCCCTTTGGAGAGGGTAAAATGACACTTTGTAGAAAAAGAGAAATCTTTCAGCAGTTGGCTATTTTGGGTTAGGTTAAAGCATGTTTCCTTATTGTATAGGTGTCTCTGTAAATAACCTCTTAGGTAGTTACCTTGCCAGGGTGTTTAACACCAGCTCGGTAAACACTGCTTCAAGCTAGCGTGTGTGTGATTAATGAACATGAAAGCACCTTTGTACCATTGGGGAAAGGAAGCAACTTTTCAGACTTGTGATGGGAGGTTCTTTGGATTTTACCTTTCTAGTGGGAGGGGGACACAGGATTTGGATTTATTTTTCTCTCTTTGGTGCCTTTTGGATTTATGAACAAGTTTATCAGAAAGGGSGTTTGAATACACAATATATTGGCTTGTAGCTAAAGCTTGGGGGTTGAAAAGCCTGCATGAATCTGAGCTGCTTTACTGAACTCTGGAACATCTCTGCGATGTCTTAACACTTTCTTTTCTTCCTGCTTGAAAATGTCAAAGTTGAAATATATATTTGCTATGTGCTGTCAAACATTGTGTGATTGCTTCATTTACAGTAATTCTGGAATGAGTTTTGATTTTGGAGGGATGGCTGGTAGAGACTGACCTTACACCACATGCACCCCAACTATTTCTAATATCACCATGCAAACTTCARTAAAGGTATCTGTGTGGTGCAACTTTTAAGAATTTTAGGTGAAAGTTTTATAGGAAAGACTTCTTGCTTCCAACTTTGCCAACATTTGCAGAAATCACAGGTCACCGTCACCAGCAGCCTTAATTTAGTTTCCTTCTTAAGAAAGCTGGGGAGTTTTTTTTGGTAAAGATCTGTACCAGAGTTTCTGCTCTGAATTACTTTCAGTTCTCAAGATCATTACTGCTTATTCTGAACTAAGGATAGTACCTGTATATGCATAAAGTTGCTGGTTTATTTTCCTAAGTGGTGCATCCTTTTCAGGTGGAAGCACATTTTGCTACAAGCCCAGCACAAGGGTTTGCTAATGGATAGGTAGCTGCAGTTGTTTGGTCACTTTCCCTGGTGCTCTATATCTGCCTTTATACACAATGAAACTTCACAAMTGGCACCTACTAAATGCTGCAAAGCTGCAGCATGCTGTGACTTCAACCATTCATCCTCTCAGACTTCCCTGGAGTAGCTTAGACTACTGTCTACCTCTTAATTGTTGGTTTAGGGCATGTGAAAAATGGRGAATTTTCACTGCTTAATTCCTTTTGTAACCATTAAAGCTTTTCACCTCCCTCCCAAACCACTCTTCTCTGTTTTTGCTAACRGAAGGAGGAGTAATGGGCCAGTAAGTGCTGCTGAGACTGCAGCTCAGGCTCTGCTTTCACAGGAGTTAAGCAAGCATCAACCTTGCAAGCCCTAGTACAGATGCTACCTAGAGCCAGAGGGAGCACTGCATTTGCACAGGCCTAGTTATTTATACTTCAAGGTGAAACACTACTGCTGCCCTTCCCCTCAGCATTTATAGTTTTGATAATTTAAAATAGTAGAGAACTTTTAACTGTGACCCAATAATGGTGTGAAGCACCAGGAAAACTGAAAGTACCTTAATGATGTAGTGCAAGACTAAACAGTTCTGGCAAAAGGAGGAAAGAATAGAGCAGAGCACTTTCTCTGGGCGTTTGTTTTACTTCCAAGGAAAAAAGCTGAAGCTTTGACCACAGTAGAGATGAGCCTTGCCCATACTGCCAGAAAGATTAATCGACTTCTACTCCACATACAGAAGATGCAGAGCAGCTCCCACCCTGCCACCCTCCAAGAATAGCAGCTTTTATTCAGTGAAGTATGAAGAAATCAGCAAAGTCTCTCCTGAATAAGAAGGTCTTTGGGCATCCTCCCTTTTTGCAGCACTTTGGAGTTCAGCTCTGAAAAGCACTTGTTAGACTCATTACCTCAAGCTGCTACTGTAAGTAATCAGATATTTAAAATCTTCCACCAGAGGAAGAAAAATGAAAAAAATGAATCCTATGTTTAATGCAGTTATTGTTTAAAACCATATTACAGCAACAGGCAAAACTCCAGCAGCTAGAAGCAACTACAGATTTTTCAAGAGGCCTGAGTTCAGAGTAGAAAGTTATTCAAGAGGGAGCCATTGACAAGAAGTAGCACCGACTTTTTTAAAACTGTCCTTTTATCTGTGTGAAAAAAGTCTTAGTAGTGTAGTAGATTGCATTTTATACACTTTTTATTAAAAGTAACGTTCCTGTCCAACATGTATATTCCCTTCTCAGCTGAAACACTAAAAAGGAGGCTGTGGCTAATGCCCAATTTCACTGAACACAAGTTAGTGAGCAAGAAGCTGTGCTCTTTGCTACCARATCTCCCACCTATCATACTGAAAAGCTGATAAATTTAAAACTGTCAAACTTGTAGATTAAGGTCCAATAGCTATAGCTCTGTTTTGGGATTAGCATTAATGTTTTAACCTCACCTCTCTCCCTGAACGATTAAATACTGCTCTAGGACTTTCTGAATCATTTTTCTCCCTTATACAGCAAGTTTTTAAATCACTATTTTTAAATGAAACTCTTACTAGCTTTGATTAAGAGAACCCTTACTAGYGCTCTGGGACAGAATGTTGAATCTATGCAAGTCAGAATGTGCAAAGACCACCATATCTTAAAAAACAGGTTAACCTTTGAAATTCGAGCATTTAAACACAAGAGTTTGCAGTCTCTGCACAAAAATTGCTCATATTCTCCCTTTGTTGCTTCTTCCACATGTGACAGCCATCACAGGACAATTATCAGCTGGTGCAAAAGGCAGTGCCCACCTTTATTACACAGAAACACCCAAAAGAGCATTTCAGCAGCTGAACAACTTCACAGGGTTTAGCAACAGTAGTTTTATTACTGCAGCCATTCTGCCTGAGTAATTCAGAAAGTAACAGCTTAAATCAACATCCCTGAGGTAAGCGAGGAGCACTGTCCCACCAGCTCTCCAAGTGCTGAAGCTGGGGAGTGAAATCCAGAAGTTTGTCAAGACAACRCAGAGGCTGTGATTAGCGACTTCATCTCTAGCTACTCCGTATCAAATGCCACCCTGCATGTGCTGCGGCTCAGCTGGAAGCAGCATGCACAGAGTGATGCTCCCTGTGCCAATGTCTACCTCACTGGTTTCCTTCCCCAACAGTTTCTTCTCACAGTGCTGGCTTAGGGTGGAAACAAAAAATAGTGCCCCCTCCTTCCATCTTTTATCCCACAGTTCTTAAGAGCAAACAAAGATACAAAAAAAGTTCAAATAGAACTTCTTCCACCTCCCACATTTAAAAAAAAAAAACCTTCTAATAGAGGTACAAGAACACTAAAAAAGTTGACTTCAGTTTAATACAAAAAAGACAGAATTCTCATTTCATTTACAAATGCYAATACTCACTATCAGTCTATTCTCACTACCTTATTTGAAATTTCATTTTAGAACTGCTGAAAGTTTTGAGTGAAAAACAAAACTTAGTTTGCTAAGTATCAATTGCAGCAGAAAATTTGTTCAAAATGTCTTTCTGAAGAGAATATTTCTGAAAAATATTTTTACAAGACTACTAGTCACATAACACACAAACTTAGCGGGTTCTTGGCTGTACAGTATTTTACACAGATACCATTAAAGTGCATCAGAGACTGCTGTCCAGTGCAAGTTCAAGCTCATCCCCAGAGACTGTTGTTTAGCAAGCAGGGCCGCGSTCCCTCCACATTATCCAATTAAAGGATCGTCATCATCCTCTTGTAACTGAAGTCGAGAGAAGGGACGGGGAGAAGATATTCTATTCTTTGAGATTATTATAATGCAGGTGAACGTAGCCAACATTATAAGGGCCCCAACAACTATCCCGATGACCTCGGCAAGATTTAAGCACCACTGGTCGGCTAGCAGACACTTGACATTACCGAGGGTTCCGTTGTGGGGCTGAGGTGGCAGCCCCAGGATGTGACACATCATGGGGTAGATGTCAACGGTGCTCAGCGTGTGCTGCTTGTAACCGTGGCGGAAAGCAGGCCCGCGAGCGGCCAGGAAGGGATGCATGCTCAGGAGAGCGTTGTCGTAGCCATGGTCACCTACTGGAGGAGTGCAGAGCACGGAGTTAGCCTTGTGGTTTCTGCCTGTGTATCTGTCATGTTCCTGCCCACCTCACCCCTGTCCACAGAAGGCACATGTAACCAAGGATACGGAAAATACAAGCAAGCCTGTGAATCAAGCTGGGATTYGGATTCCTTCCCTCCTTCCTGCTCTCCAGCAGTCCTTTTCCCCTCACCAGCCCTCAGTCATGATTCCTCCCACTAACTACCTCTTTTTCTTCTGGTCATCAACTCTTAACAGGTTTCCCTCTCCTACTGCTCATGTTAAGAGCTGAAATGGTTGTTCCCATTTCACAAGAAATCAGGGGCTGGAATTAAAGTTGGCATTCTTGAGATTTGGGAATTTGTAAGACAGACACTTCCTTCTTTCAAAAAGCCAATACATCAGGTTCTTCAGGTAAAGGGATACCCTCGCTCTCCCCCCCCCAAAAAAAACAACCCCCCACACCAAAACAGCCAAAAACAAACAAACAGAGGATCACACCTTTGGCAATCATTTAACAAATGGCTTGTCTACAAGCCAAACAAATGGCCTTGCCTACAAGGCTTGGACACGTGGTAGATTAAGAAAATACTCAGATTTCCAGTGCAATATAAACACACAGAGAGCAGTTATAGTCCAATATCCTAAAATCTGTTCTAGATGTCAAAAGTCGCTCTCAGCAGTCACAACAGAACTTGAGTGACTGTATTTAGGTTAAGACTTTATTTCTTAAAAATAGGTTAACCTATCCGCCTCCASAATTGCCACCTTATCTGCTTTTTTTGCTCTGATTTGAATTTTTATGATTCCTATTACTTTAAGTGTAATCACACCAGTTYGGTATACTTAAAATAGCCAAGATGCTACTTGTAGATCTTCTTGCTCGTTAGCTTTAACATAATCTTGCATATTTTTAGTTTTTCCTTTTCAACTAACTTATTTTGAATAGAATTGTTCTAAGTTGCTTCCTTACGGAGTTTCCTGTATGGAAATATTTAAGTAGGAGGGCTAGTGTGTGCTGGCACCGCTGAGAATAGCACTGATATGGATAAATGTGCAGGTATTTTGTTACCACTATGTCCATGAAGACACATACAATAAACACTTAAATAGTTGCTTATGTAGCTTTCTAGAGTTTGATGCACAAACTCTCTCCCATTTGCCCTTGGGAACCCTTTGCAAGTCAAATGCTTTTGAAGAGTGATTCAATTCAAYTCATGTAACTCTTTTAAAAACAGACTTACCAGCTATTTTTAGGTAGATGAAATCAACATTTAGCACATAGAATTATGCTATACAGTGCTATATTTTATGGTTAGATTCAGTTTGAAGATTTTTGAAAGCTGAAGTTTGAGGCTTTCTTTTTTTTTAAACATGCTATTTGATGACTCAGTGAGAGTTCTGGCTTCTTCAACTCTTAATGTTGTGTTATTAGCTTTAATACTTCCTTCCACTTGTTTTGTTTCCCAGGATGTGTATAATGCCATTACGTGTTGTGTCTTACAATCTCCAATGTAAATTCACCATATCTATTTTATATTTAAATAGTTTAAGCCAAACATCAGGGGAAGCTTGAGACACAGAGGCTGCATGACATACCCAAGACTACTCTTAAAGAGCATCTCTGGCTCTTAAATGGAATACATTTAAGTGGAATATTCCTCTAGTCAATGGAATATCCCCTATCTCCTCCTCATCTCAACAAAAGCTGAGGTTTGGGATGAAAAATCTGGAAATTGCTGCCTTTGAGATGTTCCCAAAGATGCACAATACTAGGGTTCTGAAGGGTTACAAGGGTTTCTGACTGCTGAAATCMTAATAAAACAATTTACACATAAGGAAGATAAACTTACATTTTGGAAGTGACTCATTTTGTACAATTGTCCAGCCTTCATCTGCAACCAGAATTATGGGTTGAATTCGCTTATTATGTCGGTAATGAAATCTTTCAGGAATTTCTTCTTTGAGATACACTTTCATGTGCTCACTGCAGTTTTTCAGTAAGTTATATACATAAGTTTTGTCTGTCAAGAAAAAGTTACATGTGAAACAGTTGGAAATTACATCCTGTTTACTATAGCTTTCAACCAATTAACTTTAATCTGTCATTTTCAAAGCAATATTTTTTCTTTGAAAAGAATACTTCTTCCATGTCTCTGATGAAATGCTCTATATATCAATGTATAAAGGGGGAACAAACTGTGAAATCTACAACAGATTAATGGCTGTGATCTAGGAACTACAATTCAGGCTACTCCTTGGGCTTTGACAGGGGGGTGGAAGAGAGGGACCAAAATTAAAGTAGAGCTTAAAAAAAAGAATGCAGTCATATACATAACGTAATCATACATAGAAGTAACCAATATTTTATCCAAAGCAAGGAATTAAGTTTTTTTCCTCCATATATAATTTGGTTCACTATAATCACTTCAGCCTGCCATATTCAGAAAAACTCTCATTAGTATCTACCCTGACATACAAAAACTGACATTTCATTCACAGAAGCAAAAGTGGTAAAGCAATCAAAGTTCATTTTAGATTTTTTTTTTTTTCACTTGAAAAGTTAGACAGTATTATTTTTAGTTGTTTGTTTTAGCTGATTAGGAATTAGAACTGCCTAACTAAATGACCGAGGAACAGAAGAGCATGCACACGACATGACAATTCATTTGTCAAGAATCAAGCCCAGGCCCATCTTTAGCACCCATAGCAATTCGACAGGAAACACTGATACCCAAAACAAAGAAATCTCTAAATCAAGAGACTTTATTAGCTTATTCATTACAACAAAGCTATGCAATATGAACTACACCAGCTTTGAAAAAGATGTAAACAATCTACCACATTCTGTACATTTTAAACAAAAATATAATCAAGATTTGATTCTCACTGTCTAACTTTAAAAAAAAGAATAAGAATACGTACTTTGTCTTGGCAACACTGCAGCAACTGGACTCTTGTCTATGAGAGTGTAGTTTTTGCGACCAATACAGTTATCCAGATTAATCAGCTTCTTTGCAGAACATGGGGCCATTCCATGATCACTTGTTATTATAATGTTGATAGTGTCCCACAAACCTAATGCTTTCAACTTTTTAGTAAGGAAACCAATATGATTATCCACTTGTTCTAATACTTTGTGCATRTTCTCAGTATCATCCGGTCCGTATTTATGCCCACTTGCATCTGGTTCTTCCCAGTATAAGGTAGCAAAACTGACTGGTGGGTTGGAGTTGTTCAGCCACGTAACAATTTTCTCCGCTCTCTCCTCAAACGTTACTGAGAAATTATACTTCATAAAGAACTGAGGGGTTGTATTGTGAATTTTCACATCAGTACCAGGCCACATCGCAGCAGCACTTGCTCTGTTTCCCTGCTGATTCGTTACCCAAATTGGGATGGCCCCATTCCACCAGAAGGGATCTGAATCATTGAACTGTGAGAATGTTTTCTGGGCGTCCGCATCATACATGTCATTAGCCACAATGCCGTGACTTTCTTCATACAGGCCTGTCACTATGCTGTAGTGATTGGGGAAAGTCTTTGTGATAAAAGCGTTTGTAACGTGGCTGACAAGCACACCATCCTCGATGAACTCCTGGAGATGAGGAAGTTTATAGGTTTTCAAGTAATCCGCCCTGAAGCCATCAAAAGACACTAGGAGTAACCTGGATAGGGGATTACTAGCAGAGTTACCACAACAGGCAGCTACTCCTGAAGAAAAGAATAATGCTAACATCAAATTCATCGTTGAGGCTTCCAAGTATTCCCAGCAGCTAATCTGACACACCTGAAAAAATTAAAAAGAAAGTATATATAAAACAARGTAATTGCCTGCAACCAATATACATTATGCATATCTTCCCAAGACAGGTATACAATAGCTAGTCCACYAAGTAAAGCCAATAACAAACAAATGCAAGGAGAGGGTTTTTTTTTTCCATTCAAAACACTAAATGAAAAAAAAAGTTTTTAAAAGCAATGATTTAATGGGGTTTGAGTTTTATTACAATTCAACAGTTAAAAAAGAAAAGTGTTCAAAAATAAGCACTGAAATAACTTCACTTTCAAGACTCCTATGTATCCCAAAATACCATTAGAGTTTAGACCAGAAATCTGTTTGCTGCCATAATTCTCATTTTCCTTTTACCTCCCCAGTACCTCTCCCCTAGTTTCAACCAGTTTAAGCCGCTAATACACTTTTCAGACTTTCAACATTCCTATTTATTCCTATTCCCGATTGCTCTATACGTGGAGTTGACAAAAGAAACCTGTGCAACAGCTCAGGAGAAAACAGAAGGACATCCACTTTAATGGCACTAAAACTTATTCTTCACATCTCATTGAAAACAAACAAACAAACACTCTTAACCATCACAAACACAAGGTATTATTTATCACATCATCATTTTGCATTATAAACTAACCTACAGCAGAAAGGACATGTCTGAGCTTATGATGGACAGAACTGCTCAACTGCTCCACTGAGGARGATCGCTCTCTCTATATATATCACATATATACTTATATTTACATACATATACTACATATATTTATTTACTTTACATACTTTTAATTTACATATACTTACATATATATTCATGYGTGTGTATATATATAGATATATTTCTCTATACACCTTTAAGAAAGGGTAGGCAAAGCTTCAAGTTTCAAAAACTGTATTGTTAAGACTGCAAAACTGTATTTTTAGATAGCGTATCTACTTCTRAAGAAAAGCCTCATTCTCACATTTTTTTCCTCTGGCTCTTATTGGCACAAATCAGGCAGATTTTAGGAAGAATTGCAAATACTTTCCTAACTGATAGATTCCTAATAATTCCTGTCCTGTTTCAAGCCTTTCCCCCAARTCACACAGCTTCTGAAACAGCGAGCAACAGCACTTTGCATCAAAAGTGCCAAGAGCTCAAATGTTCACCCGGGATCTAGCAGTGAGAGGAAATTACCGTCCTGCTCCCTCTCCCAAAGCTATGTTCTTTAAAAGAATTCTTTGAAGAAAAGAAATTTAAGGACTCTCAGATACRGAGTTTAAGCATTACAGACACTGTTTTGGGTTAGTGCAACCCAAAGCAACTCTGTGGGAACAAGGCAGGAAACAAACTTCCCGTTGCAGCTGAAGCTTCTTCCCAGCTCTCACAGGGGATATTTATCTACTTTTTGTTTTGTTTTCTTGTCAGTGCAGACTTTCAGTCCAGAACAGCAAGCCCAGCGTGCTCCACCTCTACCCAAGGCTTTTCTACACGGATGTCAAATTCATGCTGCAAAAGAGGCATAAAACCTCACACCAGCCTGCAAACACCCTAAAGACATAACATCGCTCGCATTTTTACTATATACAACGTTTCACGACCAACTCCGGAAAGTTTCCAGCACGACCGCTCTTGAGCAGGGCCACCGGCCAGCGGGCTCTGAGGCAAGACCTCGTCACCTCGCTCCAAAGGGGTTATCCCGCCCTTGAAAACGGGCGCCTGGCAGCGAGGAAGCGCTCGGCGCCTTCTCGGCCGCCGTCTCCTCAGCACACGGGCCGCGCAGCCCCGGCTAACGGCAAGCAGGAGCCCCGCTGACCTCACCCCCAGAGCCCGGCCCCGTCACGACCGGYGGGACTCACCCCTTGCCCGGGAACGAGAGCACAAGTGACCGACGACACACGCAGCTCAACGGGTCTTCCTCAGGGCTGCGCAGCGGCGCCTGCGCGGCCCCAACCGCCGTTAACGGCCGCAACCGCAGCCCGCCACGCGGGGGCGGGTGCCGAAGAACGCGCTGTGATTGGTGGGGGGCGTCCAAAGGCGACGGTTGATTGGTTGTAAGGGAGGCGAGGGGCGGGGCATCGTGTGGAGAGTGATGGGGGTCGGGTGCGGGTGCAGGTGTATGGGGTGGGGGGGGGTGCGGAACAGGCTAATGGCAGGGGGACGGAGCCACGGGGCTCTAACGGTTGCGCAGTTATTTGCCATATCTGCTAGGCAAGGTGAGCTTGAGCCCGAGCTCAAGAAACGTGCACGAACGAAGCAGTCAAACTGCCCTTTCCCTAAAAAGTTTTTATTAAAAAGACTGAAGGACAGCAAAAAATAAATTACAGCAATGAGTTGTTGGCGTCGGCTGTCCTCGTTGAGTTCCCTTACACTGCCCTGTGTATGCCCAACTTCTCCCCCCTCAGCTGTGACCACACTGTTTGGACCCGAAATATTGAAGGTGGAGGCTTCTTGTGAAGCTGTTCCCGAATGCAAGTGCCTTGTGCTGGCTTGAGGCAGCTTCTGTGTGTGCCAGTGGGTGTGTGAGATCAAGACYGGGCCAAGTGTTAAGGTTTGTTTTGGGTCTCAGCTTGAAATTTGTTTTGTGACTCAAGGCTGACACTCCAGATGCCCTCTGTCATCCCTTTTATTATTAGAAGGAATTAGTGAGTCTACAAAACATGCCAAGTTGCTGAGAAGGAGCGAAGTTTAAGTACGTGTTCCTTAATAGTATATGCCAGAGATCATAGCTCCCTTTTTAAATTTAATCTTGAAAACTGAGAAAAAGACAAGCATGTAGCTTCATTGTTGACTTAGGTAGAGGATCCGGATTTCACTGCTTATCCTGCTGGTGTGTTTATTCTGATTRCTCCGTGGATGCCAGCAGGCTATAGATTTATAGATGCCATGAAAAAAATGGTGAACAAAGGGGCACACCCCGGAATGTAGCAGGTGGGGCAAAGCACAGGCACCTGAAAGGAGATAAAACACTCCAGGAGAGCTAGATGTTAGGCAGCTTTTCAGATGTTTTATCTCAAATTGGAGTCAAATTGTTCTTTTTTTTTTTCTTTGTTTTTTCTTTCTTTTTTTTTCCCTTTTCCTCTCCTTAGTTACACTAATGCAGGGTAATACTCTGTAAATATGCACGTGACCATTTATGACATTGGAAAGGGAAATGTCCTTTACAAGTGACCTTATTGCGTTGTGTGAGTTTAAAGTATCGGGAATATATAACAATACCTGTAATCTTTTAGCCTGCTTGATTTAAGATCACATTTGATCGGTTTTATTTGGATCTTGTTACTGTTATGATACAGAAATAAAAACTGAGCTGGGCCTGTTTAGCCTGGAGAAGAGAAGGTTGAGAGGGGATCTGATCAATAGGTATAAATACTTGAAGGGTGAATGTAGGGAGGAGGGGGCCAAACTCTTCTTGGTGCTGGCCAAGTGATAGGACAAGGGGCAATGGGTACAAGTTGCAACACAGGAAGTCCCATCTCCAGGTGAGGAAGAACTTCTTTCCTGTGAGGGTGACAGAGCCCTGGAACAGGCTGCCCAGGGAGGTTGTGGAGTYTTCTTCTCTGGAGATCTTCCAAACCCACCTGGATGTCACCCTGTGCCCCGTGCTCTGGGTGTCCCTGCTGGAGCAGTATGTTGACTAGATGACCTCAGATGGTTGGTCCAACCTCAACCGTCCTATGATTCTGTGTTTCTTTGAGATGCATCTTAAGCAACAAAAAGCTTTTTGCTAACCCAGTCTGGCAAAATGCTTGTTCATCTATTCAGTCCACAAAAGTCTGAGCAAATCTTCTTGTTTACCCCAGGCCATGCGCTTTGAAACGTCTCCATGGCCGTATGAGCTCAGAATAATTTGGCCAGTTTGACACATCCTGAAGCAACTCTGGCCATCTGAAATGTGCCAGCCAGCACGTATCAGCCATTTCATACAGGTCTTGAATGTGTGTGTGCGCCTGTAAGAAATGCTTTAATTATGTATTTACTTCAATTAACAGAAGAAAAACTGGAAAATACAAGGATATTTGCCTTTCATCACCATTATCTCTCSTTGCATTGCATTTAATCATTACATTCTTCTGTTAAGCTTATAAACACTAGACTGTACTTAGTTTTGCCAGATGATATACAGATTCACTGGTGTAATTCAGCTGAGCACTTGCAGCTTGAAAACAATCATATAAATGCATTTGTTTTACTGGAATTTACTGAATGACAGGATGTAAAGGATAGGCAACTATGAAAGATTCTCAATATTTGGCTAAGTTGAATAAAAGACTTGATTTGTAGGCCAGAAACTATACCCCTCTGTTGCTAATAYTGGGTAGGGAAAACCACTGCCTTTAGTGAGTATTTCAAGTACCTGTCTTAAGAACTTTTGTGAGAAAAAGATTTTCAAAGATTTTCAGTGCTTTAGCCAAGACTATTGAAATTGAATACTGAAAGAAACCTTTTTTTCCCCCCCCCCACCAGTTTTTCTCAATTTTATGCATATAGGACAAGTCATGGAATCATAAAATCCTTAAGGTTAAAAGGGACCTTTAGAGATCATCTAGTCCAACMCCCTGCACACGCAGGCTCACCTAGAGCACGTGACACAGGGCTGCATCCAAGCGGGTTTTAAAGATCTCCAGAGAAGGAGACTCCACAACCTCTCTGGGCAGCCTGTTCCAGGGCTCTGGCACCCTCACTGATAAGAATTTTTTTCTTAAGTTCCTGGGGAACTTTTGTTGTTTCAGTTTGTGGCTGTTTCCTCTAGTTCTGTCGCTGGCCACCACAGAAAAGAGGCCGGCCCCCTCCTCCTCTCTGCCTCCCTTGAGGTATTTATACACGCTGATCAGGTCCCCCCTCAGCCTTCTCTTCTCCAGGCTGAACAGGCCCAGCTCTCTCAGCCTTTGCTCACAGGGCAGATGTTCCAGGCCCCTGATCAACCTCGTAGCCCTGCGTTGGACTCTCTCCAGCAGCTCCACATCCCTCTTGTCCTGGGGAGCCCAGAACTGGACAGTCTCCAGATGTGGCCTCACCAGGGCTGAGTAGAGGGGGATGATCACCTCTCTCGACCTGCTGGAGATGCTTTTCTTAATGCACCCCAGAATCAATCTCTTTGATCAGTTTTGTGAGCAGTTTATTGTCAGTACTGTACGTTGATGTGTCTTTATATAGTTGAGAGGAAGAAAAACATGATAATATGGTTCATAAAACCATAAAAGGCAGRTGGTGACTCACAGCTGTCTAAATTTATTAGACTTTTCATTTTTACTACCCATTTAATCTGAAGAATCGGTTGTATATGGTGACTGTAAACAGAAAGGAACATTAACCACACTGTTTCTCACRCTGTCTGGAATGATATCCCTAGGGTTACATGACAGAGTGATACAGAGTGTTTTGGTGTCACTGTTCTCTATTTCATTTACTAGAGACTCCACTGTATAAAAGCTTGAAGTCTGTTTTTTTCAGCTGCACTTTCTAAGGGTGTTTAGTTTCAGCGGTAAACAGGGATATTGAAATGATGCCAGACTTTAAGGGCAAACAAAACTGTTTTCCTTGGAACAGTTGCTTTGCTGGAATAAAAAAGTCAACATTTCTTAGGCTGTCAGGTATTCTAATGGAATTTCCAACCACTGAGTTGGATAGCAAACGAAACAAAGACTTATAAAAAGATCTTATAAAAAGACCACAAGTAAAGGACTTTGAAATATCCAAATCAGTAATAATTGTGTTGGTCCTGCAGTAGGTAATCTGTGCTTTCAAATGTGTGTATTGACTATGCCTGGTATTTTTAACAACTAAAAACTGTTGATGTAAAACCTGAATGGCCTGGGCAAAACAATTTTGTATTGTTTGTCCAGTTCCCAGTGGAGAAATGCCTGTCTCATGTAGAGTCGTATTTACTGGTGCATTGACTTTGTGTTTTATGTGTTTTATGCAGGGTCAGTAGCAAGGGAAAATCTGYCTGAAGATGAATTGTCATTATTACAGTGGAGCTCTGAATTCATGAGCCAGCCAGCACAGAACCCAGGTCAGTGCAGCAACAGATGGAGCTCTGGAAGCCATTTTCAAAGGTGTGCTAGCTCTTTGTAAAAAATCACGATGATCAAAGCCTTCCATTAAACCAATATCTTACTAAATGTTTTTCCTGTGTATGTTGTATTTCCGTACTGCATTCAAAGTAGAATACAGAAGCTGCTATAGCTTTGTATGTCAACAGTTCCCGTGAAACTGAATTTAGGCACGTGTTTCAGAAGATGAACTGACTCCATGTGCAGATATAAACTACTGAGGCTCAATGCCTCCTGCCCTCTGCCTCCTGCCCTCAATGCYTCCTGCCCTCTGCCGTCCAGAGGGACCTGGACAGACTGGAGGACTGGGCGGCGAGAAACCTCATGAGGTTCAACAGGGGCAAGTGCAGGGTCCTGCACTTGGGGAKGAATAACCCTGGACACCAGTACAGATTAGGKGTGGACCTGCTGGAGAGCAGTCCCGCAGAGAGGGACCTGGGTGTCATGGTGGACGACAAGATGACCATGAGGCAGCAGTGTGCCCTGGTGGCCAAGAAGGCCAAYGGGATCCTGGGGTGCATTAAGAAAAGCATCTCCAGCAGGTYGAGGGAAGTGATCATCCCCCTCTACTCAGCCCTGGTGAGGCCACATCTGGAGTACTGYGTCCAGTTCTGGGCTCCCCAGTACAAGAGTGATGTGGAGCTGCTGGAGAGAGTCCAGCGCAGGGCTACCAGGATGATCAGAGGCCTGGAACATCTGCCCTATGAGCAAAGGSTGAGGGAGCTGGGCCTGTTCAGCCTGGAGAAGAGGAGGCTGAGGGGGGACCTGATCAGCRTGTATAAATACCTCAAGGGAGGCAGTGAGGAGGAGGGGGGCGGCCTCTTTTCAGTGGTGGGCAGGGATAGGACTAGAGGAAATGGCTTCAAACTGAAG